CGGGGGCGGCCCCGCGGTGTCATGCATGATTTGCTCCTTCGGATATCTCGCACTTTGCCCAGAATACCCACAAGCACTTGTATCCGTAGTTGGGCTGATGGGGTTACCTCGAATCATCAACAACCATGTACGGGATGGTGTTTGCAGATCTCACTGTGGCAGAAAATGGGCGGAGACGCAGCTACGGCTTCGAGATTCAAGCTTTCGGTGGTTGAAAAGTGGTTAGACTGAGCCCAGAGCCGGGCCATTGGGAACCAAAGTCCCTCTTCAAGCACCTTCCTGCGCTGCTGCGCGTGGCAATCGGGGATGGCTTGGGCCACTGCGGGCGAGAATTTTGGGAAAGGTAGTTGAGCTGATTCCCTGGATTGACGGAAAGGCTCGATGACGTCCCAATTGCTGTAGCTATGCTTGGGTGAGCGATGGAAGTGATGATGCGATGTGGAAGATGTTACCGCCCCCAATGCCCGTGATATCGATTCTCAAAGGAGAAGCCGAATCATGCTTCAAATTAACTGGTAGTCAGTCTACGGTGGACATGGACAAGGCAAGGGTAGATCCGCGGCAGCCCGGTACATCGTTCGCAAAATTCACTTAGCCCTGAATTGTCGAAATAAGAATGAAATATCCGTACTCTTTAGAATTCAGTTTTGGCCCCGAAGACCTCCGGAAGTACGGGCCCTACGGAGCACGGATACGAACAATTCAGCGAGTCTCAAGTCTCAGCGGCGGCCGACCCCTGTCCTCTTCTGATGGAGGCTGCAGCCGAAATTTGTCAATTCGAAATTTGGCTGTCACTTTACCGGGGGCTGCGGCTGCAATCCTTCTGCCTGGAGGATTTGCTTCAGGCCTTACTCCGTACAGGTGGCTCCATCTTGAATACGACGTCAACTCCGCGCTGGGAGAGGGTTCTGAGTAGGAAGTGAGGAGATGCTTCTTCGTTTTAGCGTTGTTGGCTGTTGCCTTGGTAAAGTAGACAAGTGGAGAGTATGAAAAGTGAATGTCGACATCTGTTTAAGCATGTCGGATGTGAACTCCGTTGAACGGTGGACTCGCTGGGGTTTGCAGGGTTGGCCTTCATCGTTCAGGTCTGTCGTGTGGTTTCTGAGGAATCGACTGCTGAGTTCTCGTATGTGACTACAACCCCATCATTCTTGGTATTTGAACTTCCCGAGCACCTGGAATCAATACATCTTCCGATCTGATGGGTTGAGGAGGAGGTCTCGTTGGCCGCGAGCAACTCGACCTCAAAGCTGGCGATGAAACTCTGTACTATGCTGTGATTGACCAGTTTGCCGCGCAGACTGCGTTGGCAGCCGGGCCATTTATAGCGAGTGCCTCAAGCGGCAATTTCGCAGCGATCAGTGGCTTAGACTAGGCCAGGGCTTCCCCTCAGGAAGTATGGGCTTGGCGGCTACCGTTACATCTTCCTGCAGCCCTGATACGAGTCTATCGAAAGCATGAGTTGATGATGCTGTTCCTACATGAGATGGTGGGGTGCCATTGGCAGCTTAGTTCTACTGTGACTGTGTCAGTAAGAGACTGAGAGCCAGGGAGAGAGGCAAAGTTCCAAATCTCACTTGCATCTCGCTGGCCCTGCCATCTCAACCTCCCCAAGTGCACGGCCGCTGGCAGAGTTATTCGACCGCCTTAATGGGCTGCCTAGGCCTACTAGATCATCTTCTTGTCGCCCTTCCGCACCCCTAGCTAGCGGGCGCAACAGCGCCAAGGATCATGACCTTGCCCGCTGGACACCATCTCGTTGCCTACGAGCTTTGATGGGGGATCCATTAACACAGCTTGCAGCTTTTGATGCTGCTATTCCCATTGGGGAAGTGTTATTCGATATGGAGTGCTCGATTCGAGTAAAGAGAAAACCAAAGTCCCTATTCCCAAGCCCACGAGCGTCAATGGTGCTGCCCGCTCATAGTGGGACGGGCAAGGGTGAGGAACATGACTTGATTCTTGCTTTTCTCCAACAGGTCGATCATTCAACACGGTCTACGGAGCCTTGGAGGATCACTTGCCCTGTGCGTCTCCCCTGCTCTTGAAGGTTGATGAAGGCAATGAAGGATGGACCTGGGCTTTAATAATCTGCTTGCTGCTGGTCCTTCTCTTCTGGGTGTTGTAAGTGTATATCTTGGCTGCCACCCCTCCGAACCAGCTCGAGATGTGGTCCTTCAGAAATTTTGCCTTCTGAATTTATGCCCTTTCACTACATCGTCACGGTCAACTTGGCACTCTTGATCTCAGTCATTACTTAATACACAAAGCATCTATCCATCGAGTCGATTAGTGGTGGACATAGACGAGGGGCGTATCACATCATTCCATTCAACAATGCCATCAAGTTCACCGGAAAGACACTTGGTCGCACCGGACAACAGCAACATCGCCTCCAGACAGGCATCCCAAGACTCGGACCGCGAAGTAAAATACCAGACAGGATTGATGCCCGCCGAATATGCGGGCCTCGAGGTGGCCTCGCCCTCACCGGGCATGAAGTACCACCAGCCTGCGCCGGGCGCCGCCCCCGAACCGGTACCGGCACCTGTCCCAGGCGGATACGCGCCGTACCAAGATCAAGATCAGCACAACGGCTCCGGGTACGAAAGCCACCAGTACCCCGCACATTCAACGGCCGGAACGGGGTACGGCGGAAGCCAAGCGGGGATACCGCCAAAGAAGAATAAGAGGATATGGGGCATCCCGGTGGCGACGTTTTGGGTAGCTATCGTCGCGTTAGTCTTCTTTCTGGGGACGATTGGGGCGTCTGCTGCAGCGGGAACGATCGCACAGGCGCATGCGGCGTATGTGCAGACGTGCCAAGCGTAAGTGAACATGAGCAGCCAAATTTTGGAAGCAACAGAGTCTGACACCAGAGTAGCAAACTCGAGCAATCATCATCTCCATCAGCGTGCGCTTCGAGCGGATCCTCAGCAGCATCCGCATCCGCATCAGCCTCGGGAGCCTCAGCACTCTCAGCATCCGCCTCAGCAACAGCATCATCAGCATCCTCCACTTCGACCTCACTCGCCTATATCCCGCTCCCAGGCCAAGCCTCCTCGATCCTAGGCGAAGCGACAACGAATTGCCCCGATCTTAGTTCAGAGAACAAGACGTATACAGTGCCGAACTCGAATCTGCGCTTCGTGCGCGAGTGCGGCAACAATTACCCCATGAACGACCTGGGCCACATCCCGCTGACGAGGATGGAAGACTGCATGAACCTGTGCGCGGCACTTGCTGTCACGACGCAGAGCGCTGATGGGCCATGTGTGGGTGTGGCGTGGGTTACGGCGGGGAAGCAGGGGACGGATGAGAATTATTGCTGGTTGAAGAGCGCCAAGGGGGCGCCGGATCCGAAGGCGAATATTGAAGCTGCGTGGCTTGTGAGGACGTGAGAGAGGTGCGAGGCGGTGATGAGTTAAACTTGGGAGTGAGATGAGCGAAATGTGATAAGAATGAGATGAGAATGAGATGAGATGGGATGGGACACTTCTGAGCGGCGTTGTGTCGGCATACTCTAATACCACGATTATCATATTCATCTCTGGCAATTAATACTCCTACGATACTTTGAATGAAATTCAATGTTAGATACTTGTAAGTGGATAGACTGAGTTGAGCAGATGCTTCCAGGCTTGAAGATTTCACGGGACCAATCAATCATACTTTGACTATGCTCGAAAAGATGGCGGCTGCATTTGAGCGTGTGAGGCTGGGCGAAGTCGGGTTTTCTTCGTATTTCATGTGACGACCTGACATTGCGCTCATAGCAAAAACACGGCTTCACCACAATCCATTTCGAGCCGAGAGGAGACCGCTCGTGAAGACATCTCGGATGCTGCCGGTCTTAACTCCGGCCAGTCAGGACCAGTGGCCGGGCCCCATTCCCGTACATAGTATTCCGTAGTGAGTTTGGCGTTGTTTTACGTGGTCGCACCGTGATTAAAGGGAGAGAGAGCACGGTTAATTAAGGTTTCCGTCAGGGGGAACGACCTCACCAGACGCGTCCATCCTTATGGATGCTTAGGTAGCGACGCGACTCAACTTACCTGAAATAGTTTCAACGAGCATTTCATCAATCAGCTTCGTCGAAACAAACTTGGCCTGAGAAGCTTGCCATCTCGCAAATTTTCTGAGTCATAAACCTGATCTTCAAACTGTCAAACACCCAGCCAACCCCTGTTGGCATTCTTATGACGCGTGCGCGCTCACCTACTGTGAAAACTCATCGTGGGGCCACGCCACTGAAGCTCCCATCACTTTGCCACATCCCCTTGACTTCAACAATTTTCATCACCAAAGCTGGCCACCAAGCTCGATATATGATTTGTTTGTATCTCATACGACTTGGGCAGTATCGATAATCACCTCTCTACGTACTCATTGCTACTCAATCATCGAGCTGCCTACACTACAATTGCCCGCCCTTCCCGAAGCGCCACCCAAGCAACATCGCGCTACCACACCTTTGTGCATATTCAAACACTCGCAAGATCTCTGCGCTTGGTTCACGATGGCTTCCAAGAAACCCGGCAAAAGCCGCGAGGTCAATCGCAATGGTTAAACTTCGAGCGGCGGTCAGGGTAAAGTCAGCGGCAAAGATGTCACTAAAAGCAAGGGCAAGGACCGACAAAATGGATTCAGGAGATATGAGAACGATCGGAACAGGTTGGCCAAATTGGAAAAGTCTCCGGAGGGACTTGAATACTAGCTAGCCGAGGAGAGAAGGAATTCACAGAAAGCGAAGAAGGAGGCCGAACAATAGGCTAAGGATTCGCGAATACAAGATGAGAGGGAATACGCGCAGCTTGTTCATCAATGGCACTCGACGGAGGCCGAACGTGGCAAGTTCGCGTTCCAAAAGTGTCTCAACCTCGACCGACAAGCAGTCGATCCAGCATCTCTACCTACATACTCACTTGAGACTCCCGTATATTTCTCGCTTTGGTCGACCAACATGTGCCAGAACTGGGGTCTTGTCGACATCCACAACGATGCTCTGTCTCGAATGCGACCACCTCGCCACGTTCCAAGCCGGCGGGCAGATGTGTAGAGGCACCATCAATTGGAATAAACGGCCGCTGAAGATCATGTTGTTGCCATTTCCATATCCGGACGTGGCATATCCCCCCAAGTCGCAGGAAGTCTTTTCTCTTGCTTGCGCGGACGGCGCGGCTCTGGGCGGAATCCGCGATGAGCACTGTACAGCGTACATCTGTATCCACGACAGGGAATGATTGAGGTTGACTCTGCACAGGGAACTCATCAACCCGTCTGGCTTCACCAGCAGATGGAAGAATCCTCACCATTTCACCACGGAATGGGCCAATATTTGGGGTCTAAGGATAGAGGCAGGCCAGGTCCAGGGCGCCCTGTCAGCAACGCCCAGCATTTTCAGGGGTCAACCCTCTGAACCATTGGAAAACGAGAATAGCTTTCCGTCCGGCAGCACTGGCCTTCGAAACGTGAAAACGGAGCACTTCGAAGAAGATCAAGTTTATGTTGGCGAAAAGGACCAGGTTCTTGTTAAAGATGAAGACCAGACTCTTGTTGACGAAGAAAACCATATTTCGTTCCATGAAGTAGATCATGTCCCTGTTGGGAGAGGGGACAAGGTTTTTGTTGACGAGGAAGACCACGTTTCATTACATGAAGATCATCAGGTCTTTATTGATGAAGAAAGGGAGCAAGGGGAGGAGAAGACGGAGGAGGAGGAAGGGTATGAAGAGGACAGCCACGAAGAAAGTTATCAAAAGGGCTACGAGGAAGATTATGAAGAGGAAGATTACGAAGAAGACGAGTATGACCCTAATGCGAAAGACACTGATTCAGACTATGGGAATGAGCCGTACGATCTCGATGATATGAAATCTTGCCTCAAGGAACCGCCAATATAACGCCTAGGTGTGCCCGGATCCCCCGCCGCTTCTAACGTGGTGAGCTGGGGTGAGTGGGTAAGGAATCGGGTTATGGGGACGAGGTCACTGTCATCGACAGTTAGATGATTACTAGCTTTCCGTAACGATTGTATGCCTGGGTAATGGTTTTTAGTACTGTGAAGTACGGCTTTACCAAATGAAGTTAAAGAGCTGTATGAGACTGCGGAGGCGCAGTCCTCTCGCCCAATGAAGTCCTAACACAACCTTGATTATGAGACTACTTGCTAGGAAGCAGCGCGGCGGTCAACGTTGCCTACACAATGCATCGTTCAGGGTGCCTGTTCAATTTGAAGTCAGCATTGGCAAGTCTTTGAGCGATCTTCAAACATCCACCGTCGAGACGATGTTCCTGCACTTTCCGGATCGCCAGACCCCCTTCGAGGACACGATAAAAGCGATAGGCGCTGCTCTGAACCAGGGAAAGTTCAAGAATCACGGCCTATCAGACTACTCTACCGCCGAGGTGCTGAAGGTTCTAGGGATCTGCGAGCAAAATGGGTACACCAAGCCCAGTGTGTACGAGGGGCATTATAAGCTATTGTGCGAGGAGGCGAGAAGGAGCTGTTTCCCTTATTGTGCAAGCATAATATGACATTTTATGTATACAGGTTTGTCATCGAGTATATTTTGAGGGAACTAAGTCTCACATCCTATCAGTCCCGCAGCTGGTGGTCTTTTCTCGGGACACAAGGCTTCATCAGGCCGGTGGAAGAGTGACGTAAGTTTCAATACCTTCGTAGTCTCACTTACTCTAACGAGACAACAGAACTTTATCGGTAAGATCTATACTTATATGTACCGGAAACTTCTGGTTCGTTTGCAGTATCTACGATCCTTAAGCTTACGGAGAAGTATGGTATTAGCGGATACATAGCTACCATGCGATGGATAGCATTCTATAGTAACTTAGATATAGCATACGGCGATGCGATTATCTTTAGTGTTTTTAAGGTGGAGCAACTCTATTCGATAATTACTTAATGCACTTGAGGCTGGTCCTCTTCCCGAGGATCTGGCGGCTGCTATTACTGCTGTCTACTCCAAAGTGCAGGGTGCCGAGCCTCCTTATCACCTCTAGAATGTATTCAACTCAATAGTGGTTCTAGGAGGAGTTCATGAATATTTAGAATCTTGAGTTTTTTCGACCAATCTTACATCATCTTGAACCAATGTCGTACCATTTCAACTATGAATGCTGCAGGCACATCCACCTTGGACAACCGCTAGGATTCCAGAAGAAATCTCGGCGCTATTTACTCAGGCATAATGCTCGATCTGCTGATTGTTCTCCGTCCTATCTAATTTAGATACTGCAACACGCATTTAGGACACGAATCCGTAACAGATCCGTTCTGGACCCGTTATTCATCTTATGCTGACATTGTCATTAGGTGAAATCGTGAATTTTAATAATTGTTGGACCGTTTGGTTACCTCCTTGGGTTGAAGCATTTTTTGACTGGTTCACTGTTTCACTTGGTTACATCGTAAAGATTGCAGCGCTATATAATCTCAGCTGGGCTTGACTCAATGAGGCTTTCCTCAAAGGAGCATCGGTGGTTGAATATGCCTCGCGGAAATGCGACAGCAGCGTCTATCAGTACCCCTTCCGGGCTCGGCGGCTTGTGCGGTTTCAATTGACAAAGTAGTCGAGCGTCAACGCCTTCGTCTTCCCCGGGGTCTGCGGCGCGGGGGCCTTTGCCTCATGACCAGCTGACCAAATCATAGCTGTCTGAAGCACGGTAATAGGCGAGAAGGATTTGGGTGACAATCAAATTACATCCGCATCTAAGTATGAACCGCATCTAGGTCCATGACAGAGTTGTCGGCAGAGGGCCAAGTTGCGCGTAAGGGGCGAGATAGATACTTCAAGCAGGCATATACGGAACGCGCTAGATGGCAGTAGGATGTAATATCTGCTCCTTTTCAATCTTCCGATCGTATGTGGTGCATGCAATCTTGTCAGAAGACTATATTTTCTAGATGTGTAAAAGCTACCTATGCTATCGTCTGACCTTGCATTGTGGCGTTACAATGAAACTTGACAATGCATATCCTGCTCGTTGGATGACACATCTTAGAAACAACGAATCCTAGGCTTGAGTTTGGAATACGGATGCCTAAAGCGGACTCCTTGGCCGCTTGTATAGACAATATCATATATCAAATCCTCTACTTGCCATTAAACCATTGTACCTTAAAAAGTAGTGAGTGATAGCCTTCGTATTCTTCAACGACTCACACATTAAAACTCATTATTAGTATCACTCGCATTTCAAACGATCCAACCTCCAGCATGCGTTCATCTGCTGTCTTCGTACCGGCGCTGCTCGCCTACTTCGCACTGGCACAGAGTCAGACCGATTCCGCACCCGGGAACACCGCCACCTCCGTCCCCGACCTCGCCTCTAAAATCGGCCCTTGTGCGGCCGGCTGCCTAACCAAGGTCATTGGGCAAATCGGCTGTGGCAGTAACGATCTGAAGTGCCTTTGCGCTGATAAGGGAATCCTCCTCACCAGATTGGTGCTCTGCGGCTCGAGCGCCGGCTGTACGGTGGCAGACCTGTCTCGTGGGTGATCCTTATGTCTTACATCTAATAGTTCGTTTACAACCGAAGAATACTGTAGCTGACGTGGGAACATGGCTTCGATTAGGCGTCTCTGACGTTGTCAACCCGACTTGCAACGCCGTCAACCCCAACAACGACGATGACGAGGGAGATTCTATCAATGCTGCCGACCGTGTCAAGCGGAGCATGCCAGCGGCGCCTATTGCCGCGGCTGCTGCAGCCGCTGCCCTTTGAGGGGGCTGACCGGAGAGTGTTTTCTCAGTAGCATCATCACCTTGTGATGTCTACCTTAGTTGCTGGAGGTAATCTTGCTCCGCACCCAAACGGACAAGGAATCTTGTGCAAATCGACCAATTTCGTTACTATCAACGACGTCACCAGAATCTTGCTAGATTTCTTCAAAATGAATAAAGACCATTCAGTTGCAACCGGTTGCAAAGGTGACAATCCCTCGCAGGACTTCGAGAATTTGTGATCCGCTGTTACTCTCGATGGCTGATCAGGAGGGCCACCGCTCGAGTTCATCGTGTGAAAAGTTCAATGCTGGGTACATCAGGACATGAAGAGATATGTGCTTGATTGACCTGCAAATCCTGCAGTTATACAAGTATTTACAGCTCGAACAGAACCTTTGACTCCGAGACATCCAGTCCGAATCCCAAAGGACCAGTCCCAAAGCGTGATATACAGAGAAGAATAAGATACACAGACATTGGAGTCCTAGCGACCAAGTCAAACCAGCCTCCCTGAATTTTCTTCGCCGTGAACAATAACCAAAGAACATCTTTAGCAGCCAGACGTCTTGACATCAGTCTGCACGCAGATCTTCGGATCGTCAGCCGCATTACCAGGCTCGCCACCGCCAGTGACGCCCTTTGAGTTCTTGCACACCGTGGCACCGCCAACGACGCAAGCGCCGTTAATGGTAACCTTGTCGCCGAGGTTGCCGTTGTAGTGAGCCACAGTCTTGCCGCCGTCGACGTAGATGTTGTTGAAGACCGCAGTGCGAGCAGTCTGCTGCTTGCAGTTACCGCACGAGCGCCAGAACTGGCCGACGTTCTTTGCGTAAAAGTCAGAGACCTCGACCGTGCCGCCGCCGTTGTGCTGGAAAAGCTTATCGGGAGCGTCGCGGGCGCCGCCGCCCTTGACCGTGGAGGTGCCGCTGGTCTGGCGGAAGGTGGCGCCGTCTTCGCAGACCTTGTCCCACCAGCTGTTTCTCATGTGTTAGTCTGTGGCTTTGGATCAAGATTTCGTTGGAGGTAAGATGATGACTTACACATTGACGAGGTTGCAGCTGCCCTGGCACTGAATACCCTCTCCAGCACCGGCTCCGATAATGACGTTGCTGAGCGTGGCGCCGTCGGCCAAGATGAAGGCGGCGTCCTTTTGTCCGCCCTCGCTGCCCGTGCAGGTGCTAGGGACACGGTCGTAGAGCTTCATGCCGCCGTCAAAGTTGCCAGAAATAGTCTTCGCCGCGGAGAGATTCTCTGTTCCGGCGGGTGTCGGGAAGGTCTTTACGATGCTGCCACTGCTGCCGCTGCTGCCGCTGCCACCAGAACCGCCGCCACCACCGGGGAGAGTGCCGTTGTTAGCTGAGCTGCCGCCTCCGGTGCTACCACCCCCACCGGAGCTGCCAGTTCCCGAGCCACCAGATCCTGAACCAGAACCTGAACCAGAACCAGAGCCTGAACCAGAGCCTGAGCCTGAGCCGGAACCAGATCCGGAGCCGCTGCCGCCCTTCTTCTTATCCTTGTTTTTGTCCTTGTTCTTGTCCTTGCTCTTATCCTTGTTCTTGTCCTTACTCTTATCCTTGCTCTTATCCTTTGCCTTCTCGGCGCTCGATCCAACGTCTGGAGTGTCCTCGCAAGTTCCATTGTCACCCGGGTTGGCATATCTGATCTCGACTCTAGCGGGACCTTCGACGGGCGCACCGCGGGGTTGTTGAGGCGCCATGACGGCGCGGGCGAGATGACCAATGCCTCCGACGTGTCGGCGGGCCGGCCGCTCGTAGCCATCTGGGTTGATGGGGTTCGCGGCAGCCAGTGCGGCAAGGGAGAAGAGGACCAGCCGGGACGCCATGTTGATGATGGTGTCGGTGAAGGGGGTGGTCTTTAGGGGGTTTAAGATTGATGTTGTTGATAGTACCAGACTTTGTGTGTGAGAAAAGAAAGAAACACAAGTAACTACAAATGAGATGAAACAGTGAGAGTATGTAGGAGAAAAGGTGTGTGTTTGAAGGAGGGGAGTGAAGAGAATGTTTGTTTGGCGATGAGAAGCCTGATGTGGAGAGAAGATCTGCTCATAAACGGAGGACGAAGAAGACTGTCTTATATCTTGTCTTGAGGCTCACCAGCGTCGCGTAGTCAATGGCTTTTGAACCTGGTTGTTCTTCGCATCTGAGCATGCCCCTGTGCTCTGTAAATTGCAAAGTGATTTAGTATGGAGAAACCTCACCGGTAGCCCACCTGCAGATACAAGCCAAGATGTTTGGATATATTCGACGACCGCCTAGCCCTCTCCACAATCTTGCGTATATTGATGAGATTAGCAAGAGAGAACAGCCTCTTGTGCGAGAGGTGGGCCAGTACTCTCCCTCTTCTTTTACGGAACGGACGGACATTTGATGTGTTCAATCCGTCAGGGTCACAGCTTCATTGCCCCAAAAAGGACATGGACCGGCGGCATCTCTCAAGGGTAGGCGCAAGAGAAGGAAGTGACAGTCACAAGGCAGTTCGAACTGGTCAGTGTTAGCAAGAATGTCAAAGTGGAACTCATTCAGGAACAGCTATGCAATATGGGTCGTCTGGTATAGATTCGACCGTCCGGGATGGCAGCTCCAGCGGGAGATGATCCGAGAGTTCATCCCGCCTGCGTGGTTGGCCATTACCTAGTATAACCTACAGTTTGGCTGTGTACCGCAGTAAAAAGAAAGATTAACATAAGGCCAAGGTGGGAGAGCGGAGGCGGGTTGATTGCACATCATATGTCAAACTTGCTAATGGTCTGGGCATTTTTGAGTTTGTAGCCCTTTGGGTGGCCGGATGGTCTTGGCCTCTTTGAGATGCTTTTGCTGCTTTTGCTGCTCGTCTCCAAGGTTCATGTCAAGTAAGAGTTGACGTTCCTGACAGGCTGACAGGTCTTTCTAGAAGAGGGGAGGGGGACCCCTCATAGGTGGTGGGGTTGCTTGAGCCAATCTACTTGACTCCTATCCGGTCAAGGGGTCAAGGTCGGGCGAGCCGATTAGTCTACGGATCCCGGAGATCTCGGGGCGGGCACGGGGACGGTTGCTATCCGTGCGGAAGAGGGCGTCTTGTCGGGTTTCCTCCAGATTAAGGCAAAGCTCCATGCTACGCTGTCCGTACATGATGTTGTTAACTGATCTCTCTCCTGTTCGGAGTCTCGGTTGTGCGGAGCATGCCTGGGGTTGCGGGAGGCCCTCTTCTAGTATCCGCCTGGCTGGGCTCAATGCGACCTTATTTTGAGGCTTAAAGAGTCGCCGAGACGGGCTT